AATGGAAGGTTTCATCCTATCCTACCCGTTCGGCTAACGACCCTCCACTAGTCAAGAGTGCGGTGGGTAAGAGTGGATACCCATTCAATCGCCATTTTATAGGCAATTTCCTTAAACACCCCTTATACACCAGCTTCGTGAATGAGGCCTACTAACGGTAAGACTGACTTTTACTCATACATATATATAATGTTAGACTTTTAATCTTATATATAGTATAGGGTGTATTTTATACTTTTAAAATACTATGTGGTTAACTTTAATAATTAGACTTTTAATTCAATTAAATTGTTAACCTAAACTTTTATGGATTTATTAAACCTCTTTTAATTATACTCCTTAATTAATTAATAAAACCATAAAGGTGTGATTTGAACTTTTCAAAACATTACTAGAGTTTTAGAATTTAACATTTCTAATTAAACCTTTTAATCAACTTTTAAATTCCAAAACTTGAGGGCAGATTTTGAAACCTTTTTCAAAACATTAGGGTTTTAACTATTTAAATTTCAAAACTTTAAAACTTTTGGGTTCAAATTTAAAAAATAAAACCTAAAGGGGAAAATATGAAACTTTTCATAACAACAAGGATCAAATAACAAATAATCTAAACTAACATTTAGTTACATAATTATCCATATTTGATTTGTTTAATGATTTCTTGCAAAACAATTTATCAATTTACTCAAAATAATTAATCAATTATCTTATAAGGAAACAATTATCTTGTTAATTGATAATTATCTTTAATTAGATCAAGAATATAGTCATATATATCATAAAATCGGATTTATATTGATCTAACATGATAAGGTAACTATCCATATGCAAAAACAGCAAGAAATCCCGAGATAAGCATTATCTGACGAGTTGACTCGTCGAGTCAGGCATGGACTCGTCGAGTCTGCATGGACTCGGCGAGTTCAGCCATGGACTCGGCGAGTCCAGCCTCCAAAATCCAAAAAATCGAATTTTTCAGTTATACAATGCATCAATACAATTGAAACCAAGCTAGGCTCTGATACCACTGATGGGTTTTGGTCATAAGACATCATATGTGCTCATACAAACCCTAATGCTTGGATCTAGGTTTCTCTATTGTACATGCTTTGAATCCAAGACCTTAAACCCTAATTCTAACATGCAAGTAATCATATTAACATGTAATTAGGTTTAAGATCATACCTTGATTGTTATGTAGCAATAACAATCCCAATTCCCCTTGTATTGACTTTGGAATGCTTAGAGTCACAAGTGTCACTCCTCTAATGGTTCACAAACACCATAAGCAAGAGGATGAAGAGGAGAGAGGTTGGAGGCTGCCAAAAACGTGTGTAAACCCTTACAAGAACATTAGCCACGTTTTTGAGCCTTAAGGGGTCTTTATATAGTTGGGCTATTAGGGTTATCTAACAAGGAAACCCTAATTTGGATGCTTAAGCCCTAAGCAACCCATAGACTCCTTTTATTAAGCCCATGGACGATTTCCTTATGGGTTTCCCATTAGAATTCGTCCATCCCTTAATACAAGGCAATCCATGGCCCAAATTGCAATTATCCTATAATTACAATTCTAGTCCCTTAAGTTTAATTAATATCTTTTAGTCACAAAACTAATTACCAATTAATTATTGACTAATATTAATTAAACAATATGATTTCTCCTTTAATATATTATTCCCATAATATATTAATAAATCATATTTAATCCTTACTCTCCATAATTCATCCTATCAAGTTGCTTTGGTGAAGGCAACCCAAAAGGACCATGCACCATCGGGTCAAGTACATACCAAAATAGTTATGGACTTAGACACTAATCCAACACTTATCACCCTGAGATAAACCCTAATCGAATTACCTTTTATCTTGAGAGTGTGAAAGGCTAAAAGTGTGTGTTTTGGTGCATTCCTTTGAAGAGTGAAGAGTTTGGAACAAGAAGGAGTCTATAGATCCGACATCCACTCAGTTGTAGCAGCCATTTAAAGGTAAAAAGTCATTACCTTGATCACTTGTTTGTTAGATCTCTCCATTAGATAGTTTATGGCCATTTCTAGCTTCTCCTTGAGTCATTATTGGTTTTGAGCACGCTTTGAAGCTAATACTTCAGATCTGGACACTATTAGGCACTTTAGGCCTAAGGACTCAAGCTTTGACCAACCTTCATGCCTTAAACCCCTTGTTGAGCCTTGTTTTGGCAATGTTAGCCCATAAATGCCATGCATGGGCGTAAAGCTTGCAACTTTATGTGGTATCTTAGCCGTAGAATGCTATATCTAGAGTTTGGGGCCTTAGTCTCGCTTAAAAGCGTCTGAATGAGAGAAAGGGCTGAAGGAACTCGACGAGTTGGTTAGGGTTTTCCCCGATATTCTGGACACTGTACAAACTCGACGAGTTGATGAGACAACTCGGCAAGTTGACTCGAATATTCCCAATTTTTCTTGAGAACAAAAGGAACTCGACGAGTCACATAGATGTACTCGACGAGTTGAGTCAACATGGACTGTTGACTTGGGCATTAACTTTTGTTGACTTTTTAGGGTTTGGTCAAATTGTGGACTTTGGAGACCATGGAGGGGTAAAATGGTCTTTCACCCTTTCGGAGATTTAGTAGAGGAGTTAGCTTAACATCTTTGGAGTTGTTAATGCAAATTGTTAATTAGTGATGATTGTGATATATATAGGCAGAGTTTAGACTGACAGTTTGAGTACGAGAAATACTTGTTTTACTTACAAGGTGAGTCTTCTCACTGTACTTACCTGAGTGGTAATTACTGTGCGACCGGAGGGTCTTATTTGTGTTACTGGCCGGAGGGTCATATTTGTGTTACTGGCTGGAGGGTCATATGTGCTTATACTATTTTGTGCTTTTGTTGAGATAGGACCAGAGGGTCCAACTGAGTCGTGAGACTGGACGGTTTTCATTGAGATACAGGACTGGAGGGTCCAACCCGAGCCGTGAGACCGTAGTGTCTTCAGTGAGACACATGACTGGAGGGTCCTTATCGAGATATATCCATGAGAGGCTAATTATTTGTGTATGGTATTTTGGGGAACTCACTAATCTTTGTGCTTACAGTGTTGTGTGAAATGTGTTTCAAGTACATATTAGGATCACTGGAAGGCGCCGACATGATTGTACACACTAGCTTGTTGATTTATGTTTTGAGGATTCTAGGATATGTGACAAACAGTTTTTATGATTGTGTTTGGAAACATTTATAAATTAAGTATGAGAGTTGTTAAACTGTGTTTTGTGTGGAATTGAAAATGAAAAAATTATTTGAAAATTTAGAGTGTTACAAATATTTATTGTTTTTCAGATTTAAAACAATTTAAATGTGGTAATTATCCATATTTAATAAATCTTCAAATTTGAAAAATGAAAAATTAAGGGAACCCTAATCCGGCAAGCTCACGTCGTGAGCAGCAAGCTCTCACATCGTGAGCAGCGATTAAATGTTTTTTCAATTATGAAATTTTCAATCTTTCTTCTCTCATTCAATTTCAAACAAACATTTACAGAAAATATGGATCTAGGGAGAATGTAATTATGAACAAATGGCTCTAACACCACTGTTGGGTTTTCTATGCATCAAATACACTCAAAATTAGGTAGCGGGAAAATCAAACTATGATATACCTAAGTGTACATGCACCGTAGGATCTATAGTTTCATACTAATTACAACTACCTTATGAAAACATAAAAATATAACGAAGAAAAACATACCTCTTATGTAGCCCTTTGATCTCCATGCTTGATCTTGATCCTCCACGAAGTTACTTGGATGAAAGGACCCAAACTAGAATCCTTCTAATGATATCACACCCAATGACACCAAAGAGTAGAATAAAAAATAACTAAGAGAATGTTAATTTTACAAACCCTAAGAGGGTTAGAAATCATCCCTATGGGGGGAGGAAGAAGGGTTGGCAAAACTTCATGCTAAGGTGCAAAGAAGAATGAAATCTGTAAGGCCGTATTTATAGCATTGGATCCCTTTACAGATTTTTTACTCCTTCCCATGTGGGATGGAATACCTAGAACGAAATTCACTATTTTTCCCATGTGGGATGAAGTGATTTTCATCCAACCCTAATTCCATAAGGGTTCTTGAACATTTCTGATTAACCAACTATTGATTAATAAATATTCAACCCTTTAATTATTAAAATGTTAATTAATTTCCAAAATATATTTTAATTAGTTTCTCATTAAGTATTAACCATAATAATTAATAAACAAATTTCTCCATTATTTATTCTACTAAATTTAGGTTTTGAGGGCAACTCAAAAATACCATGTTATTATCATAATTATTACCAATAGTTAATGATCGTGGTCACTATTTCCAATACCTGCACCATCCGCTTCTTATGTTATCATAACACAAAATATATGTATATTATGTATACAAATATGTATTTTATAAACATTTTATATAAGTGGTTCGTTTCGGTTTTCTTTAGTTTTACCAAACCCAAAAACCGTACCCAAACTGAAAATTTCCGTTTTTGAAAAATTTAAACCCAAACCGTTAGTTTATGTTTCGGTTTCGATTTTGTCCGTTTTTAGGTTTCCCAATCTGGTTTTGCTCACCCTAATTAAAACTGGTGTTCCTTTTGTGATGTGACCACGTCGTGGTGCTCCTCTACCATTAGGTCATGGTCACAAAAAATCCCTATCTTGAAAGTCTAACATGATATAATCTCAAAAGAAGCATACCTGAAACGAGTGTTACACGAGTGTTACGCTCTTAAACGAACATGCTATAAAACTTAAAAAATTCATTTTATGCATAACCTGCTACAGGCGGTCATAATGATCATATGTGAACACTCCCAACAAGTTTGTTAACTAGATGTGTAAAAAAAAAAAAGATAATTATCCAGATATAAAGTTACTGAAAAGTTAATTACAATTCCAAGTCATTTTCCCAATTATAAATTACACAAAAGGTAGGTAATAGGCACTAAGTAAGGAGTACAAATGTAATTATGGAAGTGGAGGGGAGCAATATGTAACTTGTGGGCATTACTAACATTATTACAAACAGACGACGTGTTCCCATTGACTGACTTTGACTTTTTAGCACCTGTTCTCCAACGACACTCTCAATCCCTCATAAATCATAGTTACTGCAGTTACCCGCTTTGTCCTTCACTTCCCTTCTTCCTTCCTCCATCGATCTCTACCACCGAAGCATTTCAACCCGTGTCTCTTGCATTGTTTCACTAAACTTTGTGAAGAAAACCCCCCAAATACTTGCATGCTAACCTCCTGCTTCGTTTTTTCGATCTAGCGTTGCGGCGATGATTCTGCCCTGATTTTAGGGGTTTTCAGACTTGTTTCCTCGACACCGCCGTAAACACTGTATGTGTAGTAGTTTATTCGCAGTAGTATGAAAACTTGTCCAAACAACTGAAAGTTTTCAACAAATTTCGTTTTTCTTTTGTTTTGCGGTATTTTGTGTTGTTAAATTAGCAATGCTGTTGTATCTTTGATGGTTCCGGATTTCGAAGGTCGGTTTCAAGCATATATTTAGGTTAACTCCAACTGATTTTTTTGTTACTAAATAGGTTTGGTGAAAGGTGAAATTTTTTACATTTGAGCGTTTATGAATTGCTTTGGTATTGTCACAAGGGCATGGATTTTGTGAAACAGTTATGATTACGCCATTGATTAAACTGAGGTTTTGTTAGGTAATGGAGGGAAAGCTGATCCATGTAGGAGGAATTTTGCTTCTTTCTGCTTGCTTCGTGGTTCAATTTGGAAGTTTGAACGCGGTATGTTTAGAAGCACCACCTGAGAGATAAACTAATAAGCTTAATTTGAATTATAATACACACATTTAAACTTTACATGACACTCTTCCTGTTGTAGGTTTCAAATGATTCCTTTCTGGTAGCATCTTCTCATAATGAAAGCCGCATAGAAGGTAAGTCGATTTGTTTACACTAACGACAGCAAACATACATGATTTTACCAAATCATTCTATTGAATGTATTGAATGCCAGTGTCATTTCCACCCTTATCTCCAAGTTAAACTTTTCATGCTTTCATTGTTGTCATAACTTAACTTCCCCTCAAAACAATCAGGGATTCATGTGTGATTTTCACTTTCTCTTTTGGTTATGGTTTCCTCTTTCAGTTCGTATAGTCATATACTCATACTAAATCTTCACCATACAAACATTACTAATGATGCAAATTTGAACATGGGATCTTGTGAGTGTAATTTATGAAGTCCAGTTAGGGTTTACTGTGGGAATTTCTAACCTTCAACAATCATAATAACGTCAACTTTCTTTGACAGTATGCCCTTCTGGTTGGGTCAAGGGACCAAGTAATACAGTATGTTACAAATACATTGAAAACTCTCAGCCTTGGAATGAGTCAGAAAACAGCTGCAGAAGCTATCATGGCCACCTTGCAGCATTGACATCATTAGCAGAATTGAGCTTTGCACAACACTTGTGTAATGAGTGTTGGGTTGGTGGCAGAAGCACAGACACTATCATTGGGCACCAGTGGACATGGTCTGACAAATCTTATAACTGGAATCAAACTCTCATTAATGTCCTCACACCAGATCTCAAGTCCAATTGCACCAATTCATCATGCTTCTACAATCAAAATAATGACTCAGCATCCATGTGTACTATATTAACCAATAGAACTACATCTCTTGTTGCCAACATATGCAACATATCTCACTCTTCACTATGCATGATTGTTACAGGTTTGAAATAAAAAAAGTTTCCCCTTGATTTTTTTTTTTCTTTTGTTGTTTCAAGTAACTTTTTTTATATTGTTTAGATATTAATTTTCCTTCTTATTTTTCAGATAACAAATGTCAGCATATGCATTGCCACAAGGAATATCTGATTATACTTGCTATTGTGAGTGGATTGATTCTCTTCACAACATTTGCTGTGGTGATATGGCTACTTGTGTATAGGCGTAGCAAGAGACGCCGAAAATCTCGGAAATTATCTAATCCTGCTGAGCTGGCATTAGTTCCTCCATCATGGAAAATCTTCACTCGTGAAGAACTGAGGTCGATTACCAAAAACTTCAGTGAAGCTAATCGTCTTATTGGGGATGCCAAGACAGGTGGCACGTATAGTGGGGTTTTGCCTGATGGGTCAAGGGTGGCAGTGAAAAGGCTAAAAAGGTCAACTTTTCAAAGAAAGAAAGAATTTTTTTTGGAGGTTGGAAGGGTTGCAAGGCTTTGCCATCCGAATTTAGTGCCTGTGAAAGGATGTTGTTATGATCATGGTGATCGATACATTGTGTATGAGTTTGTAGTGCACGGGCCTCTAGATAGATGGTTACATCATATTCCTATGGGTGGTAGGAGTTTGGATTGGACCATGAGGATGAAAGTTGCCACTACTCTTGCACAGGGAATCGCGTAAGTGAATCCAAATCCCCATTCGTTACACAGAAAAGAACAACAGACGGTTTTGTACTGTGTTTGGCATGCATTGAACTAAGACTAAAACACGTGTCAATGAGACAAAATTTTCAATTTTTTGTCCCAACCAAAAAGGTGGAACGAGATGAGACAGGGACCCTCCCCCGATCTTTCGTTTGTGAAAAAGACATAAATGTCCTCATCTCTCATTGGGAATAGCCCTAGAAAGTTTGTCTGGTCTTGTCCTATCCTATGCAGCAAATGCAGCCTAGGCTGAGTTTGGTACCATGAGACAAAACTGGGCTGGACTGTACAAACTTTCTACGACAATTTTTTTATGATAAGGATGAGAAGGGCGTTAATGTCTTTTTCAGAAACGATAGATCGAGAGAGGGTCCCTGTCCCATCTCGTTCCACTTTTTTGGGTGGGACAAAAAAATTGCAAATTTTGTCCGGTTGACACCTGTTTCAATCCTAGTTTAATGCATGTCAACCACAGTACAAGGCGTCATATTTCTTTATGTTTTCCTACTATTATTATTATTATTATTATTTTAATAATTGCTTGCTTTTCTAATGATTAAAATAATAAAAATAGGTTCCTACACGACAAAGTAAAGCCACAAGTAGTCCACCGTGACATCCGTGCAAGCAACGTACTTCTAGATGATGATTTTAACGCACATCTAATGGGTGTTGGGTTATCAAAATTCGTACCATGGGAAGTAATGCACGGTAGGACCGTGATGGCAGGTGGGACCCACGGTTACCTCGCTCCAGAATTTGTCTACAGAAACGAGCTAACCACAAAGAGCGATGTCTACAGCTTTGGGGTTCTTCTACTTGAAATAATAAGTGGTCGTAGACCGGCTTCTCAGGCAGTTGACTCGGTGGGTTGGCAGAGTATTTTCGAGTGGGCCACCCCACTGGTTCAATCACACCGGTACCTCGAGCTTCTTGATCCTGTGATTTCTGCATCTTCTTCCACTTCTCCTTCTAAAATACCGGAAGCTGGTGTGGTTCAGAAGGTGGTTGATCTTGTGTATTCGTGTACCCAACATGTACCATCGATGCGGCCTAGAATGTCACATGTGGTTCATCAGTTACAGCAGTTGGCAGCTTAGTTTAGTTTTTGAAGTGGGAACTTTAAATTTTCGTATTTATCAAGAAATTTGTGTGCAAAAAAGTATGTATGATGGCGTTGTACTTGTAGCATTAGCGGATAAAATGCGATTATTGTCATCCAATTTTAGTGAAGGGCTATTTATATAACGAAATACGAAGGTGGATGGATTTGGCTGAAATTGGTTGTACTTGTAGCATTAGCGGATAAAATGCGATTATTGTCATCCAATTTTAGTGAAGGGCTATTTATATAACGAAATACGAAGGTGGATGGATTTGGCTGAAATTGATAATGCTTTCTTATTTCAACATTTTGGAAGTTCTTAAGGCGTACTCATTTGTTTGTTTCTTAGCAAGGCCTCCTTCGTTGATGATTAGAAGTTTAGAACAGTTTATCTGATTGTTACAACATGTACACTTGTACAATGTTTGGCATTCATTAGACTATGACTGTGACTGTCAACAACGCAAAAATAAATAACACAAAAAAGATGGAATGAGGTAAGGCGTAGATCCATTCTTGATCTCTAGTCTATACAAAAGATATGAACTCGTTCTCACTTATCATTGAAGATAACCCAACAAAGCTTAATATAGGTCATACAAAGGTTTTTCAACTCATGGATTTGTAAGACCCTCTATGATTTCATTGTTATATACTAAAGTGCTGTTTGTTTTTTCTGAAGCAAAATGTCTGCAGTCTGCGGACCATATCTGTAGACCTCTGCAGTAGAAGAGGTGGACCAAACGTCTGCAGTCTGAAAAAAGAAGACTGTTTGTTTTTTTAGCGGGCTATTAAAATAAACTGAAATCTAAATAAACTGATTTTTTAAAACTTCAAAGCGAATTTTTTATATATCTTTACGACTTTATTATAAATATATAACGAATCTAGATCAACTTTTATGTATTATTACATAAAAAATAAAAATAAAAATGGTATTAATTCATATACATATTTGATAAAAACCAACAACTTTGATTGCAAAGTTATAACTAAACATTATAATTAGTGATCAAAGAATTTGATACATAAATAGATGGAAATAAACTTCGATTTTTTCAAATAAATCTATTAAAAACGTACGATAAATATTTTATCGAGAAATTGATGATACTCTATTAAATAAAGTTTTACAAAATTTTGGCAAAAAAATATAAGAATATATTATGATTTTTTTTTTCATATTTATATAAACAACTTCAACGACTATTATTATAATAAATTTTTATTTATAAATTTGTTAAAAATATCATGTGTGTATCGTCAAATGTTTTTGTTTAAGTTTTTTAATTTTTTTTTCATATTGTTTATCATTAATAAAGTTGGAAAAAATATAAATTAAAAAAAAAACTTAAAAAAAATAAAGATATATATGTTTTTTTAAGCTAGAAGATGTCTGAAGATGTTAGAAGACTCTGGTCCACATCTGCGCCAAGAAGAGGGCGCGCAGACATTTTTAGGTCTGCAGTCTTCAAAAAAACAAACAATCTGCGAAGACTAATGTATGCGCGTGGTCTGCGCGGCGCAGACAGAAGACGTCTCGCAGATCTGCAGACAAAAAACAAACACTACCTAAGTGAACAAACAAAGAAAATACGTTAGATAGAAGCAAACAAAATATATAATAATGTATGGGTAGATGCAAATCATTAAGAATGTTCACTCTTTAGATAAAAAAGAATTGTTCAGTTGGACAATTTGAATCAGACTAGACTATTTAGTTCGGATATTCAGATTTTTTGATTGATTTTTAGCAAAACCAAATTATTATTTTGGATTTCAGATTGATTTTAATTTATAAAATTAGAACTGAATAATAATTATATTATATTATATCTTTAATCTTTTATAAATCTACTAAATTATATTGATAATAGATTAGAAAACTTCATCCAATATAATACTTTAATATATAATATTTCTTATCAAAATGTTTTTTTTGTGAAAAACTAAACTACAATATATATATATATATATATATATATATATATATATATATATATATATATATATATATATATATATATATATTAATTTTAATTTACAACTAAACTTTTTTAGTTTATTTTATAGAGTTAGCTAATATTCAAGTTATATAATATTTAAAATGTTTTGCCTTTTGAAAATTGAATTGTAAAAACCGGTCCAACCAAATTGTAATGGAGTTGGATCAGATTGGATATGAATTTAGTTTGGATTATTCGGATCCATGTTTTAAAAACGAAATCAATTTGGATTCAGTTGATTATATCGAATCAAAGAGGCTCAGCTAGAAACCTTGAAAGCCGAGAATGTGGCAGGTGAAACCTTAAGAGAAATGGATAAAAACCTAGAAGTTAAGGGTGATGGGGTTCGTTATCTCATGAATCGAATATGGACACCAAAATTCGACGTGTACAGAGACGTTGTCATGAATGAGGCACACAAGACCAAATACTTTGTACATCCCGGTTCAGACATGATGTACCTAGACCTTAAGAAACTTTATTGGTGGCCAAACATGAAAACAAAAATCATTACCTATGTGGGCAAGTGGCTGACTTATGCCAAGGTCAATGTAGAATACCAAAAGCTCTCAGGTTTACGACAACAACCAGAAATACCTGAGTTGAAGTGGGAGCGGATAACCATGGATTTCATAGCCAAGTTGCCCAAGACAACGGGTGGTCTCGACACCATTTGGGTAATCTTTGACAAGTTAACCAAATCCGCACACTTCCTACCAATAAAAGACTGACAAAATGGAGAAGTTAACCAGGACGTACATTAAAGAAATTGTACGGTTGCATGGTGTGCCAATATCCATTATCTCCAATAGAGATAGTAGATTTACCTCACGGTTTTGGCAAACACTATAGAAGTCCTTGGGAACCAGACTTGACATGAGTACAACGTACCATCCTCAAACTGACGGGCAAAGCGAAAGAACCATTCAGACGCTGGAATACATGTTGAGAGCTTTTGTGATAGACTTTGGTAAATCTTGGGATACCCATTTACCATTCATTGAATTCTCATACAACAATAGTTACCACACTAGCATCAAAGTTGCTCCGTTTGAAGCCCACTATGGCCACAAGTGCAGATCTCCTTTGTGTTGGGCTGAAGTGGGTGACACACAACTAGCAAAGAGACAAGTTCCTGACAACACTCTCACCGGCCCCGAAATCATACGAGAAACAACCGAGAAGATCGTCCAAATTCGGGCACGACTAAAAGCATCTAGGGACCAACAAAAGAGTTATGCAGACAAACGATGAAAACCCTTGGAGTTCCAAGTTGGTGACCGCGTTTTGTTAAAGGCCTCACCCTGGAAGGGAATGATACGTTTTGGAAAACATGGAAAAATAAATCCAAGGTACATCAGACCATTCGAGATCCTTGCTAGAATCGGCCCGATGGCTTACAAACTTCAATTACCGCAGGAACTCAACAACATACACCCCATTTTCCATGTGTCAAATCTAAAGAAGTGTATGTCCGACGAGACTCTTGTAATCCCACTCGATGAGATCGAGATAAACGGGAGTCTACACTTCATAGAGGAACCTGTGGAAATCATGGATAGGGAGATCAAGAGAACGAAACAAAGTTGTATACCAATAGTGAAGGTCCGCTGGAACGCCAAATGAGGACCTGAATTCACATGGGAACGAGAAGATCAGATGAAACAAAAATGTCCGCATCTCTTCCCTAGTTTATGAGTACACACGTTAGAAATAATTTCGAGACGAAATTACCTCTAACGGGGGGATAATGTAACAACCGGTTATTTTGGGTCAATAAAAGTCAAAAAAGTCAAACAAAAGTCCAATAGTTAAAAATTAAATCATAAAAACTCACTTGCTTTTGAAGTTTTCGGTTTTAGGAACCAAAAATCAAAAATCAAAATTTAAATGCTTTAGCCGAGAACACCTGTTGACCAAGAACACTTCCTAGACCGAAATCCCCTAAGCCTCGACCGAGAACCCACTAAGGCCGAAAGCTCACTTGGACCGAGAACCCTCAGCCAAGAACCCCCTTTTTGACCGAAGACCTTGATTTCGGTTGAAGTTTTGGACTTAAATCATGGTGATTTCGGTGAAGATAGGCCGAAATCACCAAACCTTATCTAGTGGCACTCTTTCCTAGGTGATAAATTACACATTTCAATGCAAACATCACGTCATCCTTATCCTCTTTATAAGTATTAGACCGAGATCACCTTCCCATTTCTCATTTTATGTCTCAAACTCCCCTCACTTTTCTCTCAAAATTTATAAGAACTTCTTCAAATCTTCAATCCTTCATACAGTTTCCCAAGAACATCTTCAATATTTGTCCAGAAAACCAAATCCTTCAAGTTAATTCTTAAGATATATTGTAAGTATTCTTACATAAACTATTGTTATACAACACTTTAATTATTAGTTCATAAAATTTACATAATTTATTATGTGTTAAAAACTATTAGGATTACGACAATTTTCACGTGTTCTAACTTGAAGAACATCGCCACTCACATCATTATCAAGCCAAAAACACACACGAGGTGAGTTCACACCCCTACATTTTTCTAGGATTTTTCTATGTTTTAGGGAGGGGGAGGGGTGGATACAAGTAAAACACAAGAAAAACTTGTGTTAAAATAATACAAATCTTTCGTACAAATACACTATGGTTTTTCTTATCATAAAACAAACACACACACACACACAGAGACACACACACACACACACACACACACACATATATATATATATATATATATATATATATATATATATATATATATATATATATATATATATATATATATATATATATATATGAAACGAGAATAAATGGATTTTCAATAAATAAACTATATTTAAAATTGTTTATAAGATTTTAACCCTTTGGTAATACGCTAAGTAAAAAGGGTATAATTATATAAAAATACATATATAATTATTTCATTCATTTTATTATCATAGTAAAAATGATAATATTCATACAAATGATTCTCCAGTACAA